TACTTTAGTATTTGATGCTAGTATTTTGGTTTTGAACAATTGTCTTTTTGTTCCAACTTTTATGAAGAATTTAATTTCAGTTTCTAAACTCGTTTTGAATGGTTATTCAGTTTCGTTTAATAACTCAGTTGTTATTCGTTATGGTAATCATTTGTTTTGTTCTGGTTCAATGGTTGGCAATCTATATGTTCTGAAACCAAAGTCTCCCACACTGCAACAAAATGAATCGAATAATGTCTTGACTAAAACTAATAAGAGAAAAGAGTCTTCGATGAATCAAGCATATCTTTGGCACCTTAGGCTTGGGCACATCAACCTTAGGAGGATTCAAAGGTTGGTATCTACTGGGCATCTTGGTCCAGTGGAAGATCATTACCAGACTTGCGAGTCCTGCCTAGAAGGTAAGATGATCAAGAAGCCGTTTTCGGCAAAGGGGCGAAGGAGCCAAGAAGTGCTAGGATTGATTCATTCTGATTTGTGTGGTCCTATGTCGATCCAAGCAAGAGGAGGCTATGAGTATTTCGTCACTTTTATTGATGATTATTCTAGATATGGGTACATTTACTTGTTGCACCGCAAGTCCGAATGCTTTGAGAAATTCAAGGAGTATAGGACAGTTGTGGAGAAACAACAAGGTAAAAGTATCAAGTGTCTTCGATCTGATCGAGGAGGCGAATACCTCTTTGGAGAGTTTAGGACATACCTATCAGAAGAAGGGATTGAATCCCAGCTAACTGCACTCGGCACGCCCCAGCAGAACGGGGTTGCAGAGCGAAGAAACAGAACTCTTATGGAAATGGTTAGGTCGATGATGAGTTATTCAAAGTTACCAGATTCGTTTTGGGAATTTTCATTAGAGACAAGAAGTTACATTCTGAATTCTGTTCCTTCAAAATCAGTAGACAATACTCCTTATGAGTTGTGGAAAGGGCGCAAGACTAGTTTCTCACAAATTTGAATTTGGGCTGCCCTGCACATGTCTTAGTGCAGGAGGCTGGCAAGTTGGAGAAACGATCAGAAGTGAGAATGTTTGTCGGCTATTCCAAGGAAACGAAAGGTGGTTTGTTTTATAGTCCTGAGGATCAGAAGGTGATCTTTAGTACGAACGCTAGATTCTTGGAAGAAGACTATATCATAGATCATAAGCCCTGTAGTAAACTTGTCCTAGAGGAGTTAGGGAGAGATATCGATAGTTCCCCACCGAGTGCGCAAGTAGATACATCACATAGTACTGCAACACGTAACACTAATAGTGTGCCAGTACAGACGGTACCTCGTCGTAGTGGGAGGGTTTCTACTCAACCCGACTGATGGATAGGTCCTGGAGAGTCATCGGACTCAGTTTCAGGAGACCTAGAATCGGACCCAAGAACTTATGACGAGACACTCCAAGATAGAGATGCAAATTCGTGGAAGGTTGCAATGAAAGCTGAGATGGGGTCTATGGACACCAATCAGGTCTGGGATCTTGTAGAACCACCCGATGGGATACGTCCCATTGGATGCAAGTGGGTTTACAAGAGAAAGAGGGGATCAGATGGAAAGGTGAAAACCTTTAAAGCAAGGCTTGTTGCGAAAGGTTATACCCAGAAAGAGGGTATCGAT